CCTCGGAATTCAATTTTTCCGGCGACGGCCAGAGCCGACGCCAGCGCTGGATCCGGCTCGGCCGCCAGCCCAGGTGCCGGCCCGGGCGTTCGGTTCGAGCGCCGGCCTGGGTGCCGGAATCGGCCCGGAAGGGGTTCCAGGGCGCCGGGAGCAGAAAATCAATATTTTCGAAAGAAAAATATGTCTTGGAGTGGCCTTTTTTCCGCACCGCCTCGGAATTCAATTTTCCGGCGCCGGCCGGCGCCGGAACCGGCCCGGGCGCTGGCCCGGGTGCTGGCCCAGGCGTTCGGCTCGAGCGCCGGCCCGGGTGCCGGAAGCGGCCCGGAAGGGGTTCCCGGGCGCCGGGAGCAGAAAATCAATATTTTCGAAAGAAAAATATGTCTTGGAGTGGCCTTTTTTCGGCACCGCCTCGGAATTCAATTTTCCGGCGCCGGCCGGCGCCGGAACCGGCCCGGGCGCTGGCCCGGGTGCTGGCCCGGGCGTTTGGCTCGAGCGCCGGCCCGGGTGCCAGAAGCGGCCCGGAAGGGGTTCCCGGGCGCCGGGAGCAGAAAATCAATATTTTCGAAAGAAAAATGTGTCTTGGAGAGCCTCGGAATTCAATTTTCTTTTTTCGGCTTTTCAATTCCCCGGCACCGGGAATTCCCGGCGCCGGAACCGGCCCGGGCGCTGGCCCGGGTGCCGGCCCGGGCGTTTGGCTCGAGCGCCGGCCCGGGTGCCGGAATCGGCCCGGAAGGGGTTCCAGGGCGCCGGGAGGAGAAAATCAATATTTTCGAAAGAAAAATATGTCTTGGAGTGGCCTTTTTTCGGCACCGCCTCGGAATTCAATTTTCCGGCGCCGGCCGTGCTCCTGCGCGGTCTGCCGTGCTCCTGTGGCGTCTGCCGTGCTCCTGTGTGGTCTGCCGTGCTCCTGTGGTCTGCCGTGCTCATTTGGGGTTTCCCGCGAGCTTGTGGGGTCTGCCGTGCTCCTGTGGGGGAAACGCCAGCGGCGTTCGGGGTACAACAAAAGGCGCGTTTATGTTGTACCTGCGCGCGGTCTGCCGTGCTCCTGTGGGGATTGCCGTGCTCCTGTGTGGTCTGCCGTGCTCCTGTGTGGTTTGCCGTGCTCCTGTGGTCTGCCGTGCTCCTTTGTGGTTTGCCGTGCTCCTGTGGGGTCTGCCGTGCTCCTGTGGGGTCTGCCGTGCTCCTGTGAGGTCTGCGGTGCTCTTGTGTGGTCTGCAGTGCTTCTGTGGTCTGCCGTGCTCATTTGGGATCTGCCGTGCTCGTGTGGTGTCTGCCGTGCTCCTGCGGGATCTGCTGTGCTCCTTGTGTCGTCTCTTTGGTCTGCCGTGCTCCTTTGTGGTCTGCCGTGCTCTTGTGGGGTCTGCCGTGCTCCTGTGTGGTCTGCCGTGCTCCTTTTTTTCCGCCTGCCGTGCTCCTGCTCATTTTCTGAGGACGTCCCGAGCGAAAACGTCATTTTTAACATAAGAGGTTGTAAAACACCTCTGTCGGCATCTCATTTTTTCGAGGATGTCTCGAGCGAAACGCTCATTTTTCATGCATAACAAAAATTTTTGATATTTTTCAACATCCCGATTTTTTGAGGATGTCTCGAGCGAAACCGTCATTTTTAACATAAGACGTCTTAAACGATAGCCTCCAACACCTCGATTTTTCGAGGATGTCTCGAGCGAAATGGCCATTTTGGGGAACCTGACCGGACAAGAACGGGAAGCGCCGTTTTTTATCCACCACGTGCGTCAGAGACCGTATTGGCGAGAACGTCAGAGAAACCCATAAACGCAACAGAACAGACTAAATGGTGGCCTGCCGCGCTGGTCTGTCGAGGTAGTCTGCTGCCCTGGCCACATCATGGTGTCGACACCGTGCTTTTCTCTCGGCCACGCGGGCCCCCACCCGTTGTCGCCCAGCCTACTTTTTCTGTTCCAGCCTGTCTTGTCTTTTGTTTGTCCGTCGTCGTCGTCGCGTGCTTTCCTTTGTCGTGGTCGTCGTTTTCATTATAATCGTCCGCTGTTGCCGTTCTCGCTGTCGCCGTCGTTATCATTGTATGATTGCGGTCCTTTTTCTGATTGTTTTTTTGTTGTTGGATTCCGTGTTCGGTTGGTTTTTGTGTTATGTTTGTGGTCGTTTTCTGTCATCGTTTTTTGTCGTAATTTTCGAGATCGTTATTGACGAAGACGACGACGACGACGATGACGACGACGACGATCTGCCGTGCTTCTGTGGCGTCTGCGGTGCTCCTGTGGTCTGCCGTGCTCCTTCTTGGTTTGCCGTGCTCCTGTGTGGTCTGCCGTGCTCCTGTGCGGTCTTCCGTGCTCCTGTGGTCTGCCGTGCTCCTTTGGGGTCTGCCGTGCTCCTGTGGAGTTTGCCGTGCGAACGTGTGGTCTGCCGTGCTCCTGTGTGGTCTGGCGTGCTCCTGTATGGTCTGCCGTGCTCTTGTGTGGTTTGCCGTGCTCCTGTGTGGTCTGCCGTGCTCCCGTGGGGTCTGCCGTGTCCTGTGTGGTCTGCCGTGCTCCTGTGTGGTCTGCCGTGCTCCTGTGTGGTCTGCCGTGCTCCTTCTTGGTCTGCCGTGCTCATGTGCGGTCTGCCGTGCTCCTGTGCGGTCTGCCGTGCGAACGTGTGGACTGCCGTGCTCATTTGGGGTCTGCCTTGCTCCTTTGTGGTTTGCCGCGCTCCTGTGTGGTCTGCCGTGCTCCTGTGTGGTCAGCAGACCCAGGGCTGAGGGAAGGCTGGAGCAGTGCTCTGGTGGTCCTTCACCCGCCCAGCTCCGTCCCCTCCCACTCTGGACCGATCTTGCGGGAAGCTGGCTTGTGGCAGCGCATCGCGCGTCGGCCGCCAGCCCAGGTGCCGGCCCGGGCGTTCGGTTCGAGCGCCGGCCTGGGTGCCGGAATCGGCCCGGAAGGGGTTCCAGGGCGCCGGGAGCAGAAAATCAATATTTTCGAAAGAAAAATATGTCTTGGAGTGGCCTTTTTTCCGCACCGCCTCGGAATTCAATTTTCCGGCGCCGGCCGGCGCCGGAACCGGCCCGGGCGCTGGCCCGGGTGCTGGCCCAGGATGTCTCGAGCGAAATGGCCATTTTGGGGAATCCGCCAACGAACCTGACCGGACAAGAACGGGAAGCGTCCTTTTGTCCCCTGGGCTTATGAGATATTCCACGTTTTTAGTACGGCATACCACAGCAGTGCCACGTACCACTGCCGTGCTTCTTTGGGGTCTGCCGTGCTCCTGTGGAGTTTGCCGTGCGAACGTGTGGTCTGCCGTGCTCCTGTGTGGTCTGGCGTGCTCCTGTATGGTCTGCCGTGCTCTTGTGTGGTTTGCCGTGCTCCTGTGTGGTCTGCCGTGCTCCCGTGGGGTCTGCCGTGTCCTGTGTGGTCTGCCGTGCTCCTGTGTGGTCTGCCGTGCTCCTGTGTGGTCTGCCGTGCTCCTTCTTGGTCTGCCGTGCTCATGTGCGGTCTGCCGTGCTCCTGTGCTCCCGTGCTGTGGACTGCCGTGCTCATTTGGGGTCTGCCTTGCTCCTTTGTGGTTTGCCGCGCTCCTGTGTGGTCTGCCGTGCTCCTGTGTGGTCAGCCGTGCTCCTGAGGCGTCTACGGTGCTCTTTTGGGGTCTGCCGTACTCATTTGGGGTCTGCCGTGCTCCTGTGGTCGGCCGTGCTCATTTGGGGTCTGCCGCGCGCCTGTGAGATCTGCCGTGCTCCTGTTGGGGAAACGCCAGCGGCGTTCGGGGTACAACAAAAAGGCGCGTTTATGTTGTACCCGCGCGCGGTCTGCCGTGCTCCTGTGGGTTCCGCCGTGCTCCTGTGGCGTCTGCCGTGCTCCTGTGGCGTCTGCCGGGCTCCTGTGTGGTCTGCCGTGCTCCTTTGTGGTCTGCCGTGCTCCTGTGGAGTCTGCCGTGCTCCTGTGTGGTGCTCCTGCTGCGTGCTCTTGTGGTCTGCCGTGCTCATTTGGGATTTGCCGTGCTCATGTGGGGTCTGCCGTACTCCTGTGTGTGTGTGGTGGGGCCTCTAAAGGCTGGAAAAAAGGACCAAGAGGTCCGAGCCCGAGGCTCTCACGGGAGCCTCCAGGGCCAGCGGGAGGGGCCGCTTAGGCCGCCCTCCCCGAGGGGCCGCTTCGGGCCAACCTCCAGCACGCCCTCACGAGGGGCCGCTTCGGGCCTCCCCGAGGGCAGGCCGCCAGGGCCAACGGGGGCGCCTAGGCCCCAGGGCCACGAGGGCGGGCGGTGCCGAGAGGCATGCAGAAGCAGCGAAGCTGCACAGAAGATCGAGCAGAAGAAAAAAGGACTGCAACGATCAACGAGTGCCACACGAAACCCACGTGCACATACAAAAATGCGAATGCAAGCGGGAGAGGAAGCCAAGCAGAGGAGATGAGGAAGGACTCACTCACAGACCTCGTAGCTTCAGAGACAACAGCGCCCTCCGCACAATTTGATAAGACGCTTCAACTCTCTGGCACGCTCAACGGACATCCCTGGCGGGAGGGCGTCAACCAGACGAGACTCATCCGCGAATCGCGCACGAAGTTGGCGCGGCCTCCGCATGGGGGGAACCTTGAGGCCAAAGGAGCCGCCTTCGATCATGTGCATCAGGTCAACAGCTTTGGCTTGGCGCGTCCAAGCGGGATCCAGAAACCCTGGCACGTTCTCCCGCCGAAGGATACCACGCACGCCCGAGCAACAGCCAATGTCGAGCACGCACGGGGCATCTGCGAAGCGGACCCTCCGCAGCCGCGGCGGCGCCACAGCGCCTGCGGCACGCCCCGACATCGGGCCCTCGGCCCGCAAGAGATCGTCAGGCAGCGGCGGCGGCGGGGCGGCAGATCCAGCAGCTCCGCACTCCTGCACCGTCGCCGCACCTGTGGTGAGCCACACGCGGGCAACAACGGCCCTCGCACGCCACCAGTCCCCTGCCGCGACCTCGCAGCGGCCCCAGCCGCCATCGCCCCCGCTGAAGAGGGCCTGCGGGAAGGCGGCGAGGTACGCGGCGGCCGCAGCAGCAGTACCGGCATGGTCGGCACCTGGCGGCTCGCCGACCGAGCACGAGGTGTCCGCGTCGGCCTCACCGTCCAGGGTAACGTCGTCGACGTCGGAGCCGTCGCAAGACGCGCCTGGCACACCAGCAGTGGCACCACCGTCGGCAGCAGTAGCGGGAGGCAGCGGCGCACGGCCTGCAGTACCTCCAGGGCTCACATCATCCGCCTGCACAATACCCACAATACCAGCGGCGGCACGGCAGGAGGAGAACAAAACAGCGCCACAAGAGCACAAAACGCCTTCGTCGCTCCGTCGCTGGCAGACGCTGCCCGACACCAGGACAGGCTCAGCAGCTGACCTCCGCGGCGTGCGTCCTGTGCCGACCTCCTCGGTGCCGCTCATCACCTCTCCGCCGTCGTCCCAGCGCCCCGGGGGCCGAAGCGGCCAGAAGGGGTCGGCATCGCACCGCAGCGTGTCCACGTACTCGCTAGGCTCCACGTGGCCCTCGCTCTCCGCGTGCACGGCGGCGCAGGCAGCGGTGTCCGCCATGAGGGCGGCCTCGACGTCAGCGACGTGCGAGACCGCCGAGCCAGTCGGGAACTCCCTCGACTCAGGCAGAAGCGACCGCGGGCGCGGGAGCCGCGGGCCGCGCTGGGCGATCCGCCAGGCGCGCCGCGGAGCTCCAGGCCGCGGGAGGTCCTGCGCGTGGCAGCCGACGTTCCGCTCTAGAATCCTGCCCTCCTGTAGCTGCTCGCCCTTCTCCTGCGCGATAAGCACGGGCGCAACGAGCGCCAGGCGGCGCAGGATGCTCGGAGGCGCCTCGGCCAGGCCCTGCAGCTCCAGGAGTTGCGCTGCCTGCCTCTGCGCCAATCTCTCACGTGAGAGGGCGGCCCAACGCTGAGCCTGGCGGCGCTCGCGCGGCGCACGCCGAAGCCCTCCAGACAGCCGATCATCTGGCCGTCTCCCCGTCGCCATCAAACTCGAGCCCGCGCGCGCGCGCGCCCGACCTGGCTGAGCCAAAATGGCTACGGACCGTACTCCTGTGTGGTCTGCCGTGCTCCGGTGGTCTGCCGTGCTCCTTTGGGGTCTGCCTTGCTACTGTGGGGTCTGCCGTGCTCCTGTGTGGTCTGCCGTGCTCCTGTGGTTTGCCTTGCTCCTGTGTGGTCTGCCGTGCTCCTTTTGGGTCTGCTCTGCCGTGCTCCTGTGGGGTCTGCCGTGCTCCTGTGGGGTCTGCCGTGCTCTTGTGGGGTCTGCCGTGCTCTTGTGTGGTCTGCCGTGCTCCTTTGTGGTCTGCCGTGCTCCTGTGTGGTCTGCCGTGCTCCTGTGTGGCCTGCCGTGCTCTTGTGTGGTCTGCCGTGCTCCTGTTGGTCTGCCGTGCTCTTCTGTGGTCTGCCGTGCTCCTATGGGGTCTGCCGTTGTTCGGCCGTCTTGAGGGCACTCTTAGGGCATAGTCTGCCGTGCTCCTCGTCTTGGTCTGCCGTGCTCCTCGTCTTGGTCATCCTTTCCGTCGTCTTGAGGGCGCTCTTGGTGCCTGGTCTGCCGTGCTCCTCGTCTTGGTCTGCCGTGCTCCTCTCGGTTCCTAAGCCTGGTCTGCCGTGCTCCTCGTCTTGGTCTGCCGTGCTCCTCTCGGTTCCTACGCGCGGTCTGCCGTGCTCCTGTGGGGAGCACGGCAGACCACAGGAGCACGGCAGACCACACAGGAGCACGGCAGACCACACCTCGATTTTTTGAGGATGTCTCGAGCGAAATGGCCATGGTCTGCCGTGCTCCACACAGGAGCACGGCAGACCACCTGCTCATTTTCTGAGGACGTCCCTAGCGAAAACGTCATTTTTAACCTAAGAGGTTGTAAAACACCTCTGTCGGCATCTCATTTTTTCGAGGATGTCTCGAGCGAAACGCTCATTTTTCATGCACAACAAAAATTTTTGACATTTTTCAACACCCCGACTTTCTGAGGATGTCTCGAGCGAAACGGCAATTTTTTCACATAAGACGTCTTAAACGATAGCCTCCAACACCTCGATGTTTCGAGGATGTCTCGAGCGAAATGGCCATTTTGGGAAATGTTTTACACAGGCCCGCCGCCCGCTGCTCTGGTGTGGTGCACTCAGGACACCACAGAGCGAGGTTGTCGCACATCTCGCACTGCGGGGTCTCCAGCGACGCCGGCGGCACAGCGTGGCAGACGGCGCACGAGCGCGCAGCGAAACAGGCCTTGCAAGCTCGCCGATATATCACTTCAGTTTGCGCTCGCATCCGACCGCAGTGCACGCAGCGCCGACCGTCCTGGGCCCAGCACGACTGGCACTTCGCTTTCGACTGCCCGTTAGACATGCCAGAACACGCGCTACAGAACACCACGGACGCGTCGCAAGATTCGTTGCTACACTTCGACCGAGTCAAGGAGCCAGCAGGAGTCGGCGCCGCGCAGTGCGAACAAGGGATCGAAGATTTAAAGCACTCGGAGCACAGCTTGAGATTGCGTTCCTCAAGCGAAGTGTGCGTCGGACACGCCATAGCACATCTTTTTCCCGCGGCCTGCGGGTTCTTCTCGCGTGACTCGCAGGCCACGCACAGCGTTGGTTCGTCTTCCTCGTTGCACCAGGTACACTCAGGGCAGCTGCGAGACCGATAACACGGCTTACACATGCCACCGCTGAGTTCGCGCTGCGCACCGCAGAATCGACAACATCCCTTTCTCTTCTCCTGCTTCTGGCGGTACAGAGTAGGATCCTTCTCCTTGTAGCAAGACTTGCAGTAACCGTCATAACCGGACTGAGCCTTCGGGGGCTCCTCACCACGGCGGGTCTTGTGATACCCTTTGCAATACTTGATCGTCTTAGCAGCACGCGCTCGACAAACAAGAGACCCACAGAACATCATATAGAACGCCAGTCGGAGCATGCCGAAAATAAACATCGGTAAGAATCGCCCTGAGGATCACCTACTAGAAAGTTGGATCTGACAGGGCTAATAGAAGCACCTCCACCGCGCACACCCTGCCGCAGCTTTGCAACCACATTGAGCCGAATACAACATATGCCAACAACATAGAGCACGTGAGAGAGCGACCTTAATCGTCGAGGGCTATCAAGAGCACCCACGGCATTGCGCACTGGAAAAATTGAAGGCGCGCTCCTGTGCTCTGCTATACTCCTGGCGTTGCCGTGCTGATTGGCCGTGTTGGTCTGCTGTGCTCCTGTGGTACGCGGCGCCCCTGCGACCTGCACTGATCCTGAATGCTTTGCCGTGCTCCTGTGTGTTCTGCCGTGCTCCTGTGTGTCCTGTATGTTCTGCCGTGCGCTTACTTTTGATAAACGCGATGTCGCTAAGATCTTTCTTTTGTGAGGATGTCCCAGGCGAAATTGCAATTTCGAGGAACCTGTGTGTTCTGCTGCATTCGCATTTTGGGAGGATGTCCCAGGCAAAACGCTTGTGTTTGCAAACTTCGGTGCTGCTACATTTTTAGTTTTGTGAAGATGTCTCAAGCGAAATCGCCATTTTGGGGTCGACTCCAGGGCGCTCTCGGGGTCATGTTGGAGCTCGGTTTCAGCTCTTTGGGGCCATCTTGATGCCCTGAAAAGTTATTGCAGTGCGATGTTGGGCGCATCTATTTTTCGAGGATGTCCCTAACGAAATCGCCATTTTACGAAGACTGGTTTGGACCATGTGGATAGAATCCCAGGAGCGATTCCAAGACGATAGCAGAACAGCAGGTTTCAAAGCAGGGTTGTCGTATTTTTCAATTTCTTGAGAATGCCCCTAGCGAAATTGAAATTTTCTGCAGTCTTCAGGGCGCTCTTGGAGCCTTATTGGGCTCCCTTTTGGGCTCTCATTTCTTCCTCTAGAAGCACCTCAAGAAAGATGTCAAGACGATGTTGAGACCATCTCATTTTTTTGAGGGTGTCCCCAGCGAAATGCTCATTTTCTGCCGTGCTCCTTTTTTTCCGCCTGCCGTGCTCCTGCTCATTTTCTGAGGACGTCCCTAGCGAAAACGTCATTTTTAACATAAGAGGTTGTAAAACACCTCTGTCGGCAACTCATTTTTTCGAGGATGACTCAAGCGAAACGCTCATTCTTCATGCACAACAAAAATCGCGGCAACCCATATAGTTAAAGAAAAGATATATTTACTCAAGGATTCAGCCAGAACGTCCCGCTTGCTTCTCGTACCTCGAAGACGCTTCCCGTCACCAGCACGGCAGCCCATAGGAACACAGCAGACCAGATCATGTCATTGACGCTGCTGTTGTTGGTGATGATCATGTTGCTGCTGATGGTGATGGTGATGCGTACGATGATGATAATGATGATGATGCGGAGGAGGAGGATGATGATGATGAGTATGAGTATGAGTATGGTGATGATGATGGTGATGATGATGATGATGATGATGATGATGAGGATGATGATGATGATGGACTTCTCGGGGTGTGCTTGGGAGATGTTGGGGTCCTCTGGAGAGCCTTTGGACTAGCAGTTTAAATCTGCGTAGCCGTTGTAACCCGACTCTCGTTTTCTTCATCGGTCTGACCGGTTTATCAGCTTACACGGCACAGCGCAGCAACACGACAGACGGCAGCAGCACGGCAGACCAGGAAGGCAGACCACAGGAGCACGGCAGACCAGAACGGCAGACCAGAACGGCAGACCGCAGGAGCACGGCAGAGCAGCACAGCTGACCACAGGAGAACGGCAGACCAGCACAGCGTTGTTGCAGCAGACGGTGCTGATACACTCTTAATTTATTGAACACGTCCCCAGCGAAATCGTCATGGTCGGCCGTATTGAGGGCACTCTGCGGGTCATCTTTGGGCCGATTTTGTTTTTGGGGGGCCGTACTGATGCCCTCAAAAACGATTCCAAGACGACGTTAGACTCATTGTTTGTTTGATGATTGTTCGGCCGTCTTGAGGGCACTCTTAGGGCATAGTCTGCCGTGCTCCTCGTCTTGGTCTGCCGTGCTCCTCGTCTTGGTCATCCTTTCCGTCGTCTTGAGGGCGCTCTTGGTGCCTGGTCTGCCGTGCTCCTCGTCTTGGTCTGCCGTGCTCCTCTCGGTTTCAGTGCCTGGTCTGCCGTGCTCCTCGTCTTGGTCTGCCGTGCTCCTCTCGGTTCCTGCGCGCGGTCTGCCGTGCTCCTGTGGGGAGCACGGCAGACCACAGGAGCACGGCAGACCACACAGGAGCACGGTCCGTAGCCATTTTGGCTCTTGCCAGGTCGGGCGCGCGCGCGCGCGGGCTCGAGTTCGATGGCGACGGGGAGACGGCCAGATGATCGGCTGTCTGGAGGGCAACGGCGGGCGCCGCGCGAGCGCCGCCAGGCTCAGCGCTGGGCCGCCCTCTCACGTGAGAGATTGGCGCAGAGGCAGGCAGCGCAGCTCCTGGAGCTGCAGGGCCTGGCCGAGGCGCCTCCGAGCGTCCTGCGCCGCCTGGCGCTCGTTGCGCCCGTGCTCATCGCGCAGGAGAAGGGCGAGCAGCTACAGGAGGGCAGGATACTAGAGCGGAACGTCGGCTGCCACGCGCAGGACCTCCCGCGGCCTGGAGCTCCGCGGCGCGCCTGGCGGATCGCCCAGCGCGGCCCGCGGCTCCCGCGCCCGCGGTCGCTCCTGTCTGGGTCGAGGGATTTCCCGACTGGCTCGGCGGTCTCGCACGTCGCTGACGTCGAGGCCGCCCTTCTGGCGGCTTCCGCTGCCCGCGCCGACGTGCACGCGGAGAGCGAGGGCCACGTGGAGCCTAGCGAGTGCGTGGACACGCTGCGGCGCGATGCCGACCTCTTCTGGCCGCTTCGGCCTCCGGGACGCTGGGACGACGGCGGAGTGGTGATGAGCGGCACCGAGGAGGTCGGCACGGGACGCACGCCGATGAGGTCGTCTGCTGGGCCTTTCCTGCTGTCGGGCAGCGTCTGCCAGCGACGGAGCGACGAAGGCGTTTTGTGCTCTTGTGGAGCTGTTCTGTACTCTTCCTGCCGTGCCGCCGCTGGTATTGTGGGTATTGTGCAGGCGGATGAGGTGAGCCCTGGAGGTACTGCAGGCCGTGCGCCGCTGCCTCCCGCTACTGCTGCTGACGGTGGTGCCACTGCTGATGTGCCAGGCGCGTCTTGCGACGGCTCCGACGTCGACGATGTTACCCTGGACGGGGAGGCCGACGCGGACACCTCGTGCTCGGTCGGCGAGCCGCCAGGTGCCGACCATGCCGGTACTGCTGCAGCAGCCGCCGCGTACCTCGCCGCCTTCCCGCAGGCCCTCTTCAGCGGGGGCGGTGGCGGCAGGGGCCGCTGCGAGGTCGCGGCAGGGGACTGGTGGCGAGCGAGGGCCTTCGTTGCCCGCGTCTGGCTCACCACAGGTGCTGCGACGGTGCAGGCGAGCGGTGCTGCTGGTTCTGCCGCCCAGCCGCCGCCGCTGCCTGACGATCTCTTGCGGGCCGATTGCCCGATGTCGGGGCGTGCCGCAGGCGCTGTGGCGCAGCCGCTGCTGCGGAGAGTCCGCTTCGCAGATGCCCCGTGCGTGCTCGAGATTGGCTGTTGCTCGGGAGTGCGTGGTATCCTTCGGCGGGAGAGCGTGCCAGGGTTTCTGGATCCCGCGTGGACGCGCCACGCCAAAGCTGCTGACCTGATGCACATGATCGAAGGCGACTCCTTTGGCCTCACGGTTCCTCCCATGCGGAGGCCGCACCAACGTCGTGTGCGATTCGCGGATGGGTCTCGTCTGGTTGACGCCCTTCCGCCAGGGATGTCCGTTGAGCGTGCCAGAGAGCTCGCTCGTCTTATCAGATTGTGCGGAGGGCAGTAAGCTGTTGTCTGAAGCTACGAGGTCTGTGAGTGAGTCCTTCCTCCTCTCCTCTGCTTGGCTTCCTCTCTCCCGCTTGCATTCGCATTTTTGTATGTGCACGTGGGCGTCGTGTGGCACTTGTTGATCGTTGAAGTCCTTTTGTTCTTCAGCTTGATCTTCGGTGCAGCTTCGCTGTTCTGCATGCCTCTCGGCACCGCCCGCCCTCGTGGCCCTGGGGCCTAGGCGCCCCCGTTGGCCCTGGCGGCCTGCCCTCGGGGAGGCCCGAAGCGGCCCCTCGTGGGGGTGTGCTGGAGGTTGGCCTGAAGCGGCCCCTCGGGGAGGGCGGCCCGATGCGGCCCCCTCCTGCTGGCCCTGGAGGCTCCCGCGTGCCTCGGGCTCGGTCCTCAGTGGACCTCCCCCTTTTTTTTCCAGCCTTTAGAGGCCCCACCACACACACACACACACAGGAGCACGGTCCGTAGCCATTTTGGCTCAAGCGAGCCTGGCTTACGGCAGGCCCTCGGGCGCGCGGGCGCGCCCGCCAGAGGCCATGGTACACTCCGGGTGCGGAGCGGCTTGGGCGGCTGCGTCTGCCCGCACCCTGGCTCGGCGCTTGCGGCGCGCGCGCCGCCAGGAGCTCGGGCTCAGCAGGGCCGCAGCGCTGGCGCAGCGGACCAAGGTCCTGCGGCGTGCGCTGGCGGCACACTGGCAGCTCGCCGACGTCCTCGGCGGCTTCGCGCCCTGCCACGGCGACGCCCTGGCAGCTGTGAGGCTGCTCGGCGCCGCGCCTGCAGTGCTGATCGATGCCCAGTTCGACCTCGAGGAGGGCAACTGGGCGCGGCACGCGCCGCCTCCAGGACAAGCTCGTCTGCGGCCTGTCCCCACCGAAGCGCGCCGGGCTGAGGTTGCCGAGGCGGCCCTGGCGCAACAGGTCCTGGGCGCAGTGCCGCTCGCGGCGCCCCTGGCCTTGGAGCGGCCGCCTGGAGTGTGGCACGAGGTCTCCTCGCGCGAGTGGGGCAACGCGCCAGCCGGCGGCGATGCGAAGGAGCCCTCGGCGCTCTCCGACTTCCGCGTCGAGCCGCGCGCCCTTCCGCTGGCCGAGGTGCTGGCGCCTGGTGCGTGGCAGGACTTCGACCTCGTCGCGGCGTCCGCGGGCCAGGTCTTTGCGCAGGGGGTTGCGGCGGGCTGGCGGCTCGCTGTTCTGGAGGCTGGGGCCGCGGGCGAGCACCAGCGGGCCGACCCCTACGACCTGTTGCTGGACGCGCTGGGCATCGAGAGCTGCGACGGCGGGAGCGAGGGCGGCGGCGACGGGGACGACGGCGGCGCCTTCGGGGACCATGCCGTGCCCGCGGCTGGCGAGTCCTCGCCGCTGCTGTTGTCCGTCAGTGGCCGTCTGGGCGAGGCCGTCAGCCACAACGACAGCGACGACGACAGCGTAGGCGGCCAGGGGCAGGAGCATGCCGACGGCGATGCTGCTACTGCCTGCTCCGCCACCGCTGCGTCGGCGCTCAGTGGAGCGATCGCGACCTACCTCGGCGTGAACGAAGCCGCACTCCTCCGTGGAGACGGAGACGGCGGTCGAACTGCCGCGGGATTCGCTGAGCTGGCCGTGCCGACCGAGGACGCTGAGGGCGAAGTGCGGCGATGGCTCGCCGACTGGTCAAAGGTGGCTCACATTTGCTCCCTGCAGGAGCAGCTGGGGGCTGCTAAGAAGGAAGTGCAGCTCCTGCGCTGGAAGGCAGGGTGGCTGGAGATTGACTCCGTCGGGGTGAGGTGCAGGGCAGGCCTGCCGTTCGTCCTCCAAGAGTCTGGGGGCCGCCTCGCCTGGCATGAGTTCTAGGAGCGGGGGCAGGGACTTCGGCGAGGCCCGTTGTGTGTTTCAGCCCCCACGTGAGGTCAGGCCCGTTTGGCTTTGCAATGCGTGTGCTGGCCTCACCTCGAGGTTCGTGAGGCCCTTCGTCACTTGTTGAGAAGGTGGGCCTCGCGTCTCATTTGCAGCGAGGCAGACTTCCTGGCCGTGCTTTGCGTGCCTCAGTCTCCGCTGCTGTCTTGATTTCTTTGAAATCTTGCGCTTCGCGCGTTTGGCGCTTCGCGCCCTCCCCTGCGGAGGCTCCTTCGGGGCCCCTAGGGTTGGCCCTTGAGGCCCTGGGGCCAACGGGCTCCGTGGGCCTCGGGCTCCTTTTAGCCTTCATAGGCCCCGCAGCTCACAGCTCACACAGGAGCACGGCAGACCACACCTCGATTTTTTGAGGATGTCTCGAGCGAAATGGCCATTTTGGGGAATCCGCCAACGAAAACTCCCGTGCAATCCCGCAACCCATAGATATAAAGATATATATATATATATATATTTATATTTACTCAAGGATTCAGCCAGAACGTCCCGCTTGCTTCTCGTACCTCGAAGACGCTTCCCGTCAAACCCCCGTGCAGCCCCGCAACCCATATAGTTAAAGATATATATATATATATTTACTCAAGGATTCAGCCAGAACGTCCCGCTTGCTTCTCGTACCTCGAAGACGCTTCCCGTCATCCGCCAGCGAGTTCCCCGGTGCGGCGCGCACCCCTTAGTTAGAGAAAATTGAGCCCCAGAACCAACGGTGCACGCCGGAGGCGCTTCCCGTCATCCGCCAACGCCCGGCCGGGATGCAATCCGGAGCCCCATATAAAGGTTTTTCCTTAAGAAAAACGGTCCACGCTCCTCGTTCCTCGTTCGCGCTTCCCGTCATCCGCCGACCCCTTGGGGTTCATCGGCGTGTGAGATGTTTCCCCCTCCCCAAACCCCTCCCCCAGGAGCCCGGTCCAGTCGATTTGGAAGGAGGGTCCCCACAGAGGTGGGTGAACGCATCCGGGGGTCAGAGGGCCCCAAAGCAAGTCAAGAGGGCCCCAGGAGGCCCTTGGAGCGGTCCGCGAGGGCCACGAGTCGCCGAGAGATCGATCCCAAACGCCCACGCTGGCCTCCAGAAAGCCCAAGAGGCCCCCAAGACGGCCCTAGAAGCCCCCAAGAGGCGCCTCAAGAGGGCCTCCAGAAGCAAAAATCGCCCCATTCCTTGGTGAAACATACATTTTTACCACATTCGCCTCTTGGGCGTTCACAACGTCCCAGACGGCCCGAGAGGCCGTGAAGATCACCCCAAGACAGGACAAGAGGCCTCCAAGAGGGCTCCACGACCAAAAGGAGGCTCCAAGACGGCCCAAGAAGCCCCCAAGACGGCCCAGGAGGGCCCCCAAGACAGCCCCAAAAGCGGGCCCAGAGGGGGAACCCGAACGGACATTTCGAGTCATCCACCCCAAGACGCCTCCGGGTTACCCCAAGGAACCCCCAACAGTCCCCCAGGGAGCCCCAAGATGGCCGCAACAAGCCTCCAAGAGGCCCCCAGGAGGCCCCCAAGAGGTTCAAAACCTGCCTCCAAGACGCCTGCGAGACGCCTCCCACGAGACCCCATCAGCCATCCGAGTGGCCTCAGACCCGAAACCCAGGCACGGGCGTCACTCCGCTGGACCACCCACGGCAGCCCTCGAAAGTCGCGACAGTTTCGCAGATCGCAGCCCCACAGGGATGGCGAGGTCTCCTCGTGGTCCGCATCAGACGTCACCCCGCTGAACCCCCCAGCAGCCCTCTAAAGTGGCGACTGTTTCGCAGATCGCAGCCCTCCGAGGGGTGGCTACGTCTCATGGTGGTCCGCGTAAGACGTCACTCCGCTGCACCCCACGGCAGCCCTCGAAAGTGGCGACAGCTTCCAAGATCGAAGCCCCACAGGGATGGCGAGGTCTCCTCTGAATCTGGGTAAGACGTCGCTCCGCCGGGGCAACAGTTTCGCTGATCGCAGTCCCACAGGGATGGGTCTCATCTGAATATGAGTAAGACGTCACTCAGATGGGCCCCCCAGCAGCCCTAAAAGGTGGCGACAGTATCGCAGATCACAGTCCCACAGGAATGGCTAGGGTGCCTGGTGGTCCGCGTAAGGCGTCACTCCGATAGAACCAAAGCAGCCCTCGAAAGTGACGACAGTTTCGCAGATCGCAGACGTCACTCCGTTGCACCCCACGGCAGCCTTCGAAAGTGGCGACTGTTTCGCAGATCGCAGGATGGCGAGATCTCCTGGTGGTCTGGATAAGACGTCACTCCGCTGGACCACCCCAGCAGCCATCGAAAGTGGCGACAGCCTCGCAGATCGCAGCCCCACAGGGATGGCGAGGTCTCCTGGTGGTCTGCGTAAGGCATCACTCCGCTGGACCACCCAGAGGCCATCGAAAGTGGCTACAGCTTCGCAGATCGCAGCCCCACAAGGATGGCGAGGTCTCCTGGTGGTCCGCGTAAGACGTCACTCCGCTGCACCCCACGGTAGCCCTCGAAATTGGCGACAGCTTCGCAGATCGCAGCCCCACAGGGATGGCGAGGTCTCCTCAAACTCTGGGTAAGACGTCGCTCCGTCGGGGCAACAGTTTCGCTGATTGCAGTCCCACAGGGATGGCGAGGTCTCATCTGAATATGAGTAAGACGTCACTCCGATGGGCCCCCCAGCAGCCCTCGAAAGTGGCTACAGTTTGCAAGATCGCAGCCCCACAGGGATGGCGAGGTCTTCTGGTGGTCCGCGTAAGACGTCACTCCGTTGCACCCCCCAGCTGCCCTCGAAAGTGGCGACAGCTTCGCAGATCGCAGCCCCACAGGGATTGCGAGGTCTCAACTGAATATGAGTAAGACGTCACTCCGCTGGACCACCCAGCTGCCCTCGAAAGTCGCGACAGCTTCGCAGATCACAGCCCCACAGGGATGGCGAGGTCTCATCTGAGTCTGGGCAAGACGTCACTCCGCTGGACCCCAGCAGCCCTCTAAAGTGGCGACAGCTTCGCAGATCGCAGCCCCCCAGGGATGGCCAGGTAGGAGGCAAGCTGGCACGCAGGAAGAAGCGAGGTGAGAGGCAGGAGAGAAGAGGAGAGGAGGGGGACAGGAGAAGGAGAAGACGCGCGGGCAGTGTTCTACCCCAAACGAATACCCAACGCAGGAGGGTTGAGAAACACTGCCTCCAAGACGCCTGCGAGACGCCTTCCGATGAGACCCCATCAGCCATCCGAGTGGCCACAGACCCTCAACCCAAGCACGGTGGCGGGATGTGCCGAAAGCCATTCGATCCGCCGCCCCCTGCTTGCAGGGGTGCACGGCGTGCTGGATGTTTCAGGTTTTGGTTTTGGTTCTTTTTCCAAAAGAACTCCCCAGTGGGCTCCGGCAGAACCCGCCGGCCACCCGGAAGGCCCCCAAACGTGCTCAACGACCGGAAAAAATCCTCCAAAAAACGGCCGTTTCGCTCGGGACATCCTCAAAAAATCGCGAAGATGGCCCAAGATGGCCTCCAAGTCCGCCCGAGATGGTCCAAGACGGCCTCCAAAACGGCCCAAGAGAGTCCAAGACGGCCCAAGACGGCCCAAGAGGCCCCCCAGAGGCCTCCCAGACGGCCCAAGA